CTTCTCAAAGGTAGTGCTAATCCCCGCTTGAGATCAGTGTGGTTGCCTAGATATTCCCTATTCCCTAATTGATTCTGTCACGTCTGACTGAGTCCCTCTAGAAATAATCCTTCCACTCGAAAATGCATCGCAGCACAAACGGCTAAGCATGCTCTAAGTCGAGCATAGCATCAGTTCAGCCAGGCGACAAAGTTAAGCTCAGCTGTAATTCCTGCAGATCAGTTGATATTCTTCTACACATCCAATTGCCAATTCTCATATATCACATACTATCATATTTTTATTTAAGTTGCTGCAAGCCACTCTGCAACCCAGCTCCTCCTTTTAATGCTGCATCTTAATTATTGTCATCTGTTGTGATTAATGTGTGAAAGGACGAGAAGGTTTCACAACTCTAGATATAAATTCTTCTGACTACAGTGGTCCTGACTGAGCTGACATTATACTGTAGCTTTAAATATGTCAACAACTAGAGCTTTTAAGGGGGGGTAAAACCCTTGAGTGATAGACGTTATGGCTGAAAATGTTGACCATCATGGCATTAAGGGGAACCAGCATCCATCTGACTGAATCAGCGTGCTCAGTATTGGCTACATTTACCCTCACCTGTCATATGATTTCCCCACATCGTGACAGTAGCTGTCTGATTGTCAGTCTGGCTCTGACAGAAGAGTCTATCACCCCAGGAGAGAGGAAAAAACTCCCTCAAAAAAGATCAAATGGACCGATACTGATAGAGTTAGCCCAGAGAGAAGGAACAAAGGATGGCCGAACAGAAAGGAGGGAAACAAAACATTAGGAACAAAGAGAAATATGAGAGAAGTGGAAGAGAGGTGAGAAAACCGTGGAAGACGAGGGTTAAACAAGAAGGAGGGAGGATGTGTTCATCACTCAGTGGCAGTGACTGGCTGGTATCTGCATCTCGCTGTCATCTGCACCGGCTTTTGCAGGGTGGAGGAGGATGGAAAAAGGAGGAGGAGGTGGTGTAGGAGAGGAGAGAAGAGGAGAGGGAAAACCTCTATCCTGTCTATCTCTGAGCCTCATCTCCTGCAGTTCAGGAGCCCGCTTTCCAAGAGTGCCTCATTTTCAAATCTCTTATCTCAGCCCCCGTTTTAAGTATCGCAGTTTTATATTTTTACATGTCATTTGCATGCAGCTCATCAAACCAGACTCCCTCTATTTTTTCCTCATTGCTTTTCTTCTCTGAGGTGTGCGGCGATACATGCGGCTGCGCAGGAGCACCCCTGCTAAAGGGAATAAGCTTTCACTAGCTGCCACCTAGCCTTGGCTGTATACTGTACTGACAGCATTTATCCTGTGTGTGCAGAATACACAGCATTAAAAAAGTATCTTGTGTCTCTGTTGAATGTTAGGGAAATGCTTTGCTCGAGTGCAGCGGAGGTAAAGTGTGTGCATGTGTGTTTGTATGCGAGAGGCGGATGAGAGTAGGTTTCTGATTTTATCTGCCTTCCTTTTCTTCTTTGTATTTTTGGAGGATTCACACAGTGACCTCTTTGTTTGGGACAGTGAGTACACCCCTCCAACTCTCTGGATTGCAAAAGAAACTATTTCCTGTGGCCGAGAGATAGAACGAGAGACGGACTGAGAAAAGAGGGAGAGATAGGACGGTGGAAGGAGGGGCAGGCAGATGGACGGACGGACGGAAGTGTAGGAATGAGAGGGAGAGGAAAAAGAATCGGAGATTAAGAAAGAAAGAGGTGCATAAAAGGAAGGAGGCGGTGCAGGAGAGACAGTGAAAGTGGAGAAGGGAGGAAGAGAGTGAATTGGGATGATTGAATGAATGATTCTGTGAGGGGAGTGAATGAACGGCCATGGTTGAAAAGGTCAGGGAAGGAGCAGAGCAGCTTATTAAATTCCCACAAACTGTTTGAAGCATTTAATGTAGGAGAGGATTTTGCAGCTTTTTTCGAGTATGTTGTGATCTGCTCAAAGGCCTCTAATATGCCAGTTACGCTTCAACAGTCCAAAACCCAAAGAAAGTCATACTTTACAGTGATATCTAGTGCCTGAAAGGGAGTTATTGTGCACATGTGAGAAGCCTAGTGCCGACGATTACACAGGATCATTTCTGCTCATTCCCAGGCCCGTGTCCTTTATTCTTGAGCTCTATTATAGGACTTTTGCATGATTCACACGTCAGTGGAGCTTTTTGTAACCGCTCAGTTCATTCTGTTTGTTAAACAAGCTGTTTTAGCTCCTCCCCCTTTAATGCCACCCTCTCCTTTAGCCAAGTTCTTCTGATTGGCTTTAAGGGGCAAATAAATACAACAGGAAGCACTGGTTTCCATAAAATAACTGCTATTACTAATTTCTATATAACGTAGCTGTTTGACATACCTTCTATGTCAAAAACCAAAGTTGCACAAGGGAAAAACATAACAAAATTATTGGAACCATGTGGAATAAACTTGCAGTCCTGTTGCCTTTGGTTTGTTGCTTTGAAGGTGGTGAGTTTGGTGGTAAAACAGCAATAATATGGACTCTGCTGTCAGTTTGCAGTTGAATGAAGTCAAGCTGGTGACTACATGCACCAAAAATCCAGTAATTAACTTATAAATTGGTGAAAATACAAATCTAATGCTATCAGGTAGCAGATCTGTTGCCATCTACATTCAACAGAAATTCCCATTAGCTACTTACTTGAGCGTAGCCAGAACCCCATAGAAGTGAAACAGTGTTTATATGAATCTTCCAGTCGGTTAGTCTGAGTCGTCCTGTGATTGCTTGGGGACAGGTTGCCCACCACTGGGTGATCTGTGCATTATAATGGTA